TTATATTGTTGAAATTATTTATTAAATGTGCGTTATTTCACACACACACACACCTGTACAGTGATCATAGTGTGGTATTAGTATGTGTGATTGGGATAGGGCTGAGTGTGTTTATTTATGTGTAAGACAAGTAAGTGTGTGTGTGTGTGTGTGTGTGTGTGTGTGTGTGTGTGTGTGTGTGTGTGTGTGTGTGTGTGTATATATATATGTGTGTGTGTGTGTGTGTGTGTGCATGTGTATATGTGTGTGTATATGTGTGTGTGTGTGTGTGTGTGTGTGTGTGTGTGTGTGTGTGTGTGTGTGATAATAATAATAATAATAATAATAATAAAAATAATAATAATAATAATAATAATAATAATAATAATAATAATAATAATTAACGGTTCATTGAAAGAGCATGGCAGCCGGAAGGCTGACATATACAGTTGCATAATGGGGGAATGGGTCTCTTGATTTACAAATAATATACAATTAACTTAAGTGATGGAAATATGATATATAATGACTAGGTGGGGAGAAGGTCATACTACAGGACATTTCAACATAGTGACAATGCAAAAAGGTAAGATTGACAACACAACACACATATATATTTTTTCTCACTTTTGATCTTTTTTAATGTTTGTATTATTATTACTATTATAATTATAATTATTAATATTATTATTATTATTATTATTATTATTATTATTATTACTATTATTACAGTGATGCTATTATTAATATTATCATTATCATTTTACTAGCAGAATCGCCGCCCTCCGGGCGGCTCATCCGCTAGGCAACGGTAGGACGCCACCCACCGGGAAGCTCCACATTGTCTCACTGTTCAGTCCACAAAACTTCTTCTTCCATCAATAGTTCATTAACGGTGTATGTAAGTTCCACCATGTTTTTCACTACAACGGTACAGCAAAGTATATTTTTTTAGCATTAAACTGTTAGTATTTTATTGTCTAATCATCACTACATATAACATCATCCATCATCACTACATATAACACCATCCATCATCACTACATATAACACCATCCATCATCACTACATATAACACCACCAATCAGCACTACATATAACAATATCCATCATCACTACATCATCATGCATCATCACTACATATAACACCATCCATCATCACTACATATAAAACTATCCATCATCACTACATATAAAACCATCCATCATCACTACATATAACACCATCCATCATCACTACATATAACACCATCCATCATCACTATATATAACAATATCCATCATCACTACATCATCATGCATCATCACTACATATAACAGCATCATCCATCTTCACTACTTATAACACCATCCATCATCACTACAGATCGGTAAAGTAGTTTCCGAGATTTTCATGCGGACACACATTATTTAGTTACTCTGAATTATTATTATTATTATTATTATTATTATTATTACTATTAGTAGTAGTAGTAGCAGTAGTACATTTTCGCCCCTCAGGCCTCGATGTGGGTCAGTGACCTGTGCCCGGCTGGGCGAATCTCCGGAAAAAAAAAAAAAAAAAAAAAAAAAAAAAAAAAAAAAAAAAAAAAAACACTGGTTGATTACAAGTTATTGATAATTTTTACAATGGTTGGGACTGGGCTGTTCTTATAATGATCAGTTCGTGCTCGTATGGGCTGGGTGCAGTTGTGGTGTCGAACAGCAATTCTCGGATGAGGGATCTCGGGTGGTAGTAGGAGCCGGTGTCGAGGATGGTGCAGAAGCTTCTCACCAAATTTGCAGATGAGGTCGTGGTGATGGTCAGTGAGAGCCGAGAGGGTCAGTGTGTTGAGCGCTTCTTGAAGGAAGGGGAGAGAATAATCTTGCATGCCCTCTTTTGCACTTTTTCTAGGTGTTAACGTTGTGTGGCATTTTGGAAGGAAGACCAGGTAGGGGAGGCATAGGTTTAACTTGGGATGTATGAATGTTGAGTAAACACTGAGGAGCTCGTGGGCAGGAACTACGAGGGACTTGAGTCGGCGGAGGAGGTGGAGACGGAAACTGGAGGCTTTGACAACCTCAAGGACGTGTGTTTTTCAATTTAGTTTGTTGTCTATGGCAGTGGTTCCCAACCGTTTTTTTCTAGCAACCCCAATCATGCACCTCTAGCCATGACCGCGACCTCATCGTCCTCAAAGGGTTAAATCATCGTCCTCAAAGGGTTAAATCATCGTCCTCAAAGGGTTAAATCATCGTCTTCAAAGGCCTAAATCATCGTCTTTAAAGGGTTAAGTCATCGACCTCAAAGAGTTAAATCATCGTCGTCCATGGGTTAAATCATCGTCTTCAAATGGTTAAAAAATCGTCCTTAAAGGGTTAAAAGTTGAAAGACTCTAATTGAGGTGTAAAGGAGTCTTATCTCTTGCGTAGGGACTAAGACTCACTAACGGTGCTAAGACCCTCGATCCTCTTGATGTTCAGAAATTGTTTGTTGTCTAATTTTGTGAAACTAAGACTCACAAACCATGCTTAAAGACTCTTAATATTCAGGAGTCTTTCATGTAATCCTATTTTGAAACTAAGACTCACCAACCATACTTCAAGGCTCTTAAATTAATAGTCTGCATGCTGCCGTAGTGTCTGCGCTCAGTGCAGTCTGCGAGGAGGGCAACCGACTGGCGCTGTTACAAGACCAAGTATTCATTGCTGTTTGGCACTATCCAGTGCTTCCAACCCCTTGACACTGTTCCGTTCTACCAAAGATTCTATGCTGTGCTACAAAAGGAAAGGTCACTCCAATGGGCATACGTGTTCACCCCAGAATGTGGCGCCGCCAAGACTTTGCTAGGTTTACAAAATAGTTGGTAGGCAAGGATTAAATGGAAGAAGATGCCCAGGGGTGCCACCGCCCCTGGCAGGGCCCCTGTTGTTACCACCGCCCATGGGGGTGCCACCGCCCCTGAGAGGACCCCCGGGGGCACCACCGCCCCTGGCAGGGCCCCTTGGAGTACCACCGCCACTGGGGGCGCCACTATCCCTGGGAAGGCCCCTCGGGGCACTGCTGACCCTAAGAAGAGCCCCTGGGGGTGCCGTTGCACCTGGATGGGCCCATGGGGTCGCCACCGCCCTTGACAAGGCCCCACGTGCCGCTACTTCCCCTGGCATGGACCCTGGGGGCACCATCACCCCGGGCATTACCCCTGGGAAGGGCCCTTGGGGAGCCACCGTCCCCCTGGGCCGGCCAACTTTTCTGGGTTTGCCGCTGGGGGCACTGCTGCCCTTAAGGAGAGCCAATTCCACTGGCAGGCCCCTGGGGGTGCCACCGCCCTTGGCAGGGCCTCTGTGACGCCACCGCCCCTGGCAGGGAACCTGTTGGCACCACCGGCTCTGGCAGGGCCCTTGGGGGCGTCACCGCCCCTGGTACGGTCCCTGTTGGCGCCACCTGTCCTAGCAAGGCCCCTGGGGGTATCACCGCCCCTGGCAAGACCCCTGAGGGAGCCACCGTCTCTGGCAGGGCCTCTGGGGGCGCCACCGCCTCTGGCAGTACCCCTAGGGGCGCCGTTGCCCTTGGGAATGCCCCTTGGGGAGGCCACTGCCCCTAAGGACGCCAGCTTCTCTGGGATGGCCCCCTGGGGGTGCTGCTGCCTCTAAGGAGAGTCCCAGGGGCCGCTACTGACAGGGCCCCTAGGGGCACCACTGGCAGGGCCCCTGGGAGCGCCACTGCCCCTGACAGGGCCCCTGTTGGTGACACCAGCTCTGGCAGGGTCCCTGGCAAGGACCCTGTTGGCGCCACCACACCTGGCACGACCCCTGGGGGCACCACCACCCCTGGCAGGGCCCCTGGGGGTGCTGTTGCACCTGGGCTTGCCCCTGTTCACGCCACCGCTGCTGGCAGGGCCCCTGGGGTTGTCACCGCCCCTGGCAGGGCCCCTGGGGGTGCCGCCGCCCCTGGCAGGGCCACTGAGGACCCGCTGTCACTGGGAGGGCCCCTGAGGGCACCACCGCAGCTTGCAGGGCCCCTGTTGGCGCCACTGCCCATGGCAGGGGATCTGGTGGCGCCACCTCCCCTGAGAGTGCCCTTGAGGGAGCCACAGCTCCTGACAGGGTTCCTGGAGGTCCATCTCCTCTGGGAGGGTCCCAGGGGGCGCTGTTACCCCTAAGGTGAGCTCCTTTCATGGCCCCAGGGGAGCCACCCCCCCCTAGCAGGGCCCCTGGAACCTGCTGCCGCGAAGCAAAGCCCCTGGGGGAGTCCGTTGCACCTTTGCGGGCCTCTGTCAGGGCCCCTGGGGCACCATCACCCCTGGTAGCGCCGTTTTACCTGGGCGGGGCCCTGGGGGTGTTTCTACCCCTGGCAGGGCCCCTGTTGGCGCTACCGCACCTGGAAGGGCTCTGATGGCGCCACCACCCCTTCAAGGGCCACTGGGGGCGCCACCGACCCTGAGAAAACCCCTGGGTGGCGCCACCAACCCTAGCATGGCTTCTGGGAGCGCCACGGCACCTGGCAGAGCCCCTTGAGTGCCACTGCCCCTGGCAGGGCACCTCGGGTGCCACCGCCCCTGGCAGGGCTCCTGGGGGCGATACCGCACCTAGCAATGGCCCATGGAGGCGCCGATGTCTCTGGGAGGGCCCCTGGGGGTTCTACCGCCCTTTGCCTGGGCCCTAGGGGCCCCACTGCCACTGGGAGGGCCCTTTAGGGCTCAACCGCTCCTGGAAGAGAACCTAGGTACATAGCCTCTTCTGGGTGTGCTCCTGCTGCAGCGAAGCAGAGCCCCTGGCGGCACCGTTGCACTTTCGTGGGCACCTGGCGGAACCACAGCCCCTGTCAAGGCCCTTGGGGGCACCGTCGCCCCTGCCCAGGCCACTGGTAATGCCGTTGCACTTGGACGGGGCCCTGGTGGTACTACCGCACCTGGAAGGGCCCCTGATGGCGTCACCGCGCATACGAGGGCCCCTGGGGGCGCCAACTCCCCTGAGAAAGGGGCCCCTGGGTGGCGTCACAGCCCCTTGTATGGCACCTAGGAACAACACCACCCCTGGTGTCACAGTCCCTGGCAGGGCCCCTGGGATGCCACCGCCCCTAGCAGGGCTCCTGGGAACACCATCGTCCCTGAAGCACTGTTGCACCTGAACGGGCCTCTGGGGGGGCCACCCCCCCTGGCAGGGATCCTCTTGGCGCCACCGCCCCTGACAGGGCCTGTCTTAGTGCCACTGCCCCTGGCAGGACCCTTCTTGAGGCTATGGCCACTTGCGGGGCCTCTGGGGACGCCACCGCCCCTAAAAGGGCCCCTGGGATCGACATCGCTCCTGGCAGGGCCCCTGGGGGCACCACCTCATATGTGAGATCCACTGGGGGCACCACTGTCCCCTGGGAGTGCTCCTGAGGTCGACACTGCCCTTGGCATAGCCCCTGGGGGCGCCACCGACCCTAAAAGGGCCAGAGGGAGAGCCACCGCCCCTGACAAAGCCCCTAGGGACGTCACCGCTCCTGGGTGAGCCACCGCCTTTGGCAGGGCCCATGGGGGCGCTGCTGCCCCTAAGAAGAGCCCCTGTGGGCGCCGTTGCACCTGGGCGGGTCCATTTTCGCGCCACCGCCCCTGCCAGGGCCCATTGAGGTGCCGACGTCCCTGGAGGAACCACCGCCCCTGGGAAGGCCCCTGGGACCGCCACCGCCCCTGGCAGGTCCCCTGGGAGCACCACAGCCCCTGAGAGGGCCCCAGGGGGCGCAGCATCCTCTGGGCGAGCTCATGGAGGCGCTGCTGCCCCTAAGGAGAGCCCCTGGGGGCCCCGTTGCACCTGGGCGTGCCCTGGGGAGCGCTACCACGCCTGGCAGGCCCTTGAGGGTACCACCTCCCATGGGAAGATCCCTGAAAGGGCCCTTAAGAACATAAGAACATAAGAAAATAAGGAGTCTGCAATAGGCCGGTTGGCCCGTGCATGACAGCTCCTGTCGAGAGTTACTACCACTCTCTATCATCCATGAATATATCCAGCCTCCTTTTAAAACTTTCCAGCGTTCCAGCACTTACTACAAAGTTGCTAAGCTTGTTCCACTCTTCCACTACCCTATTTGTAAAATAGTTCCTTCCTATCTCCCTCCTAAACCTAAACTTATCCAACTTAAATCCGTTGTTCTAAGTCCTATCCTGCTCGGGTATTATAAGAACTTTATTTATATCACCTTTATTGATTCCTTTCACCTACTTGAATACTTCTATCATATCTCCCCGCATTCTTCGTCTTTCTAGGGAATGCAAGTTTAGTTTCTTTAACCTATCCTGATATGGAAGTTTTCTAAGTCCCGGAATCATTTTCGTCATTCTTCGCTGCACCGACTCTAGTGAATTGATATCCATTCTATAATAAGGGCACCAGAACTGAACCGCATAATCGAGGTGCGGCCTGACTAGCGCAAGATATAGTTGCAATAAGACCTCTGCACTCTTATTACTTACACTTGTAGATATAAAACCCAATACTCTGTTTGCCTTATTTCGAACATTAACGCACTGTTTTCTAGGCCGTATGTCCGGGCTTACAAGTACCCCTAGGTCTCTTTCACAAGTCGACTTCTCTAGGTTGATGTTGTTAAGGCTGTATACAGTGACTGTATTTGTTCTTCCAATATTAAGTACGCTGCACTTCCTGGTGTTGAATTTGCATCCTGCCCTGAATTAACCTCCCGCCCTATTTTGGTGTCATCCGCAAACTTGCCTTGTCACTGCTGATCTCAGTATCTAGATCGTTTATGTAGATTATGAACAAGAGTGGGCCTAGTACTGACCCCTGGGGAACCCCACTTGCACCTGAACCGGCCCCTGTGGGCACCACTACCCATGGCAGTGCCCCTCCTGGCTCCACCGCCCCTGGGTGCAAGCCCCCTAGGGATGTGCCGGCAAGGCTCTTGGGGCACCCTTTGGGTGCGCCACCACCCCTGTCAGATCCCCTGAGGGCACCACTGTCCCTGGGAGAGCCCCTAGGGGCGCCACCGCCCCTGGCAGGGCCCCTTGATGCGTTGATGCCCCTAAGGGCGCCTGTAGCACCTGGATGGGCCCTTGGGGTGCAGCTGCCCCTAAGAAGTGCCTCTGGAAGCGCCGTTGCACCTGGATGGGCCCCTAAGGAGAGCCCCTTGGAGTGCCGTTGAACCTGGGCGGGCCCGTTTTCGCGCCACCGCCTCTGGGATGGCCCCGGGGGAGCCATTGCCCATGGCAGGGCTCCTGGGGGCGCCGCTGCCCCTAAGCAGAGCCCCTGGAAGCGCCGTTGCACCTGGTCGGACCCCTGGGGGCACCATCTCCCCTGGCAGGCTCCCTGTTGGCACTGTTGTCCATGGGAGGGCTGGCGGCACAACCTCCCTTGTCAGGTTCCCCGGGGGCGCTGCTGTCCCTGGGAGGGCACCAGGGGGCACCACCGCCCCTGGGAGGTCCCCTGGGGGCACCGCTGTCCCTGGGAGGGCCCCTGGAGGCGCCATCTTCTCTGGGAGGGCCCCAGGGGGCACTGCTGCCCTTAGGTAGAGCCCATGGGGGCGCCGTTGCACCTGAGCGGGCTCCTCGGGGCGCCACCTCCTCTGACAGGGCCCTTGGCGGCGCTACCGCCCCTGAGAGGGCCCCTGGGAGAACCACCGCCCCTGGTAAGGCTCCTGGGGTCGCCATTGCTCCTGGGAGGTACCCCTGAGGCACCACTGCCCCTGGAAGGGCACCTGGGGACGCCATCTCCTGTAGGAGGGCCCAGGGGGCGCTGCTGCTCTTAAGGAGAGCCCCTGGAGGCGCCATTGCACGAGAATATCGGAAACTACTTTACCGATCTGTAGTGATGATGGATGGTGTTATATGTAGTGATGATGATGGATGGTGTTATATGTAGCAATGATGGATGATGTTATATGTTTTGATGATTAATGGTGTTATATGTAGTGATGATGGAAGATGTTATATGTACTGATGATAGGTGGTGTTATATGTAGTGATGATTAGACAATAAAATAATAATGTTCCAACCTGTCTTAATTGTGTGATGCTGTGTGTCATGTCCATTCTAACGATAACTCCAAATAAACGACCAAGACTGTCAATTCTTGAAAGAAGACAGAGAGATGCATTGAGAAAGCAGCAATCAAGATCAAGTGAATCGAGGCAACAACGTGCTGCACGTTTACAAACTAACAGAGAGCGAACAACGGCAAGTCGGTCACAGGAAATAGATCAGGAAAGGGAATCCCGTCTTAATGCTCAGCGTGAGCGAACAGCGGCAAGTCGGTCACAGGAAACAGATCAGGAAACGGAATTCCGTCTTAATGCTAAGAGAGAGCGAAGAGCAGACAGTCGGTCTCGGGAAACAGATCAGGAAAGAGAATCCCGTCTTTATGCTCAGAGAGAGCGAACAGCGGCAAGTCAGTCACAGGAAACAGATCAGGAAAGAGAATCCTGTCTTAATGCTAAGAGAGAGTGAACAGCGGCAAGTCGGTCATAGGAAACAGATCAGGAAAGAGAATCCCGTCTTAATGTTACGAGAGAGCGAAAAGCGGCAAGTCGGTCACAGCAAACAGATCAGGAAAGGGAATTCCGTCTTAATGCTGACAGATAGCAAACAGCAGAAAGGCGTTCTCTAGAAAATGATCAAGGGAGTGAAATTCGTTTGAATGCTAATAGACAGAGAGCTGTGGGATCCAGAATTCTAAGAAAGAATACACAGTGGCTTCCACTTGCAAGAGCAGCATTTAACTATGACAATGATATAGAATATGAAAAGTATCCCTCTGTTGTCATTGGCAACATGGATAAGAAATGTGAACACTGCTGTGCAAAGAAGTACAAAGGAGAATCTGCTGGACTGTGCTGCTCTCATGGGAAAGTACGACTGCCAAATTTGGAAAAACCACAACAACCATTGAAGACTCTCATGCTAGGAAACACATCAGAGTCAAAACACTTCGTGGACAATATACGGAAGTACAATTCATGCTTCCAGATGACATCCTTTGGAGCTACCAGAGTACTTCGTGAGCACGGATACATGCCCACATTCAAAGTCCAGGGTCAAGTCTATCACAAAGCAGGATCCCTCTTACCACTGGAAGATGAGCAGGCAAAGTTCCTCCAAATCTACTTTTTGGGAGATCATGAAAAGTAGGCTACTACCAGGTGTGGCAACATTCAAGGTGTCAGACATGACATTGTCCTATCTATCAAAGAAATGCTGCATGAGCGCAACACGCATGTACAGTCATTTAAAAATGCCCTGGATAACATGCCTTCTGACGAGTATAAAGTCAGGATCAAAGCATACACGAACCCTAAGGGAGAACATGAAAGAAGATTCAATGCTCCTGTAGTTGATGAAGTAGCCATTCTGATTGTTGGTCAAGAGTTTGAGAAACGAGACATCATACTCAAAATGAGAGACGAGTCGCTCACAAGAATATCAGAGACACATCAATCTTATGATGCACTGCAGTATCCTCTCATCTTCTGGAAAGGTGAAGACGGATATCACTTCAATATTCCTCACACAGATCCAGCGACTGGTGCGGCAAAAGTAGGTACGAAAGTCTCATCTAATGACTTTTATTCATACAGAATACAGATTCATGATTAGAGAAGACAGTTTCAACCAGATACTAAGATCAAGGAACCTCTTCCACCAGTTTGAAGTGGACATGTATGCCAAAATTGAAACAGAAAGACTCACCTTCATACGACTCAACCAAAAGAAGCTCGGGGTTGATGACTATATTCATCTGAGAGATGCAGTAGCAAGGGATGGACATGTGGGCAATGTTTGACAGCTGGTGATTCTCCCCTCTTCCTTCACTTGAGATCCGAGATACATGCATGAAAAGACTCAGGATGCCATGACCTACGTCAGAAACTAAGGACAACCAGATCTCTTCATTACTTTTACATGCAACCCTGTATGGACTGACATAATAGAAGCTCTAATTAAAGGCCAGAAAGCACAAGATCGGCATGACATTATAGCGAGAGTATTTCATCAGAAAGTGATCAAACTCATGGACTTGCTTACAAAAGCATCAATCTTTGGCCCTACACGGTGCTACATGTACTCCAATGAGTGGCTGTCACGGTCACGTTGACTGCTAGTCTGTCTTAACTACTGATTCTTATTATACTCCACGAACGCAAAACATGAGTGGGTTAGCTATTCCTAAGAAGAGACGTGTTTTTCCCCATCGACGTTTAGACTCATGATCCCCCCTAGTAAGTCCCACCTTCGAAGACAGTTGTCACACTTTATTATTCCATTCTCTCCTGACAAGCTCAATCTTGAATTAGTCTGTGTAAATCAACTCAGGTAATTCGCCAGACCTTTGTCAACTAAGGGTCATCTTTGCAGGAGTAACATGTAGGTTGTTTGTAGTTTCTGTCATTGCATGAGTAGCGACTCAGGGGTATATGAACCAGTGCAAGGACGAGAGAGAGCCTCCCTCTCTCCTCACGTCAACTTCGTTGTCCTTGAGGTATGTGGCATTGTTCCCTAGCCATTCAGTTTGATTCAGTCATTGTACTGTATTATCAGTGTTCATGCTTTAACAGTGGAATTGTCATTCACCCAGTGTAAGAAGTAATATAAAGTAAATGTCGTCTGTCGTTGCCAAACGAGAGATTTGTTGTGATGGTGTTGTCATCATGCTTCCCAGTTCCTTGCTCCCTCTCTCCTCACGTCAACTTCGTTGTCCTACAGATTCCAGGGTGTCCTCTGAACAACCCATCGGCTGCTGTGCCGGTGGGTAACCAGCAGGGATCAATATATGCATTGACGTCGGTGATTCAACATGATTGAGACGGCAGATCCGCCTCGTGAGCTAGACCCCAGACTCGACATGTGTCTGGCTACCACTGATCACAGTAAAGGTCGTGAGCCCCAGTGTCCTACCCTGGGATTCTCCCTGGAAGTTATGGCCCACAGTGTTTGATGTACATGCTTGGGGATAATTAATTGGAAATAATTATCCCCTGTTGGGTAGTGGACCCATGTATTTGCTGGTTTCAGTATTAACGTGTTGTATGTTGTGAGTGCATCTCATATGCACTACCAACAGTCTGTGAAATATCAAAAGTTTGTCTTGTAACTGTACTGTAATACCACGTGCTACTGGTAGGTGTGAAAAGTAAAGTAATCTGCAAGGAGTTGTCATGTAACTATGTATTGTGAGTAGGGCCACTGAACTGGTCCTGCTATGTAATGTAATGTAACACCAGTAAGGTTGTGTGCAATCAGAAAATACTGAGTTTGCAGGTGAGTAAGCGAGGAGTTGCACCTTGAAGTTATATATTAATAATTTCTCTTTTTCCCTTTGATTTCATATTAATAAACCTGTTCTTAGAGTATTTTAGGAGTATTAATTTTCCCCACAGCAGTTCACCTTTATTTCCATCCAAGTGACCCTGATATCAGAATTACAATACCCATGTGCCTTAGACCCTCGACATGCTACCAAAAAGAACTAAGGTTATGCAGTAACCATTGAATTGAAGTAAGTAGAAAGAACAATTGAATTAAAGAACTAAGACAAGAGAAGTAAGAGTAAAAGATAAGGCAGAGTATGAGTAGAGAGAATCCGGTGCTCGTACATTGGTTCGCAGCTGTGGGATGTAATTCACATGGTATCAGATCAGGAGAAATAAATGTGATACTGTGGGTAATTTTTGTTTTAGTGTGATTTGTAATAACCACGTCTCTGTACAGGTACCTAATCATTTCACTGTAACTAATGAATATTTCAGATTACAAATAATTTTGTTCCGTAACTGTTCCAGCGTACAGCGTAGTTGTAATTCTGTGCAAAAAATATATTTTCTGTGGTTTTACGGAGAAGTTAAAAACGGTTCACGGTAAATACTTTACTTGGAGTTAGGTTAGAACATTGCCTCAAGGAAATCAGAAACCTGTTTTAAAGTAAAGTGTACAGTAAAATTGGAAACTTGTAATGTTCAGAGTATTGAAAAGTGTCTGAAAAACAGAGGGTAGCTACCTAACTATTATTTTTTTTTTTTGCAGTCTTTTTGTGAAATCTCAGGAAAGTGGTGGTTGTATGCCAAAGTAATATTTTTTTGGGTGCCTTTCTGCACTGGTAAAATAGCAATTGTTGTGATCACTCGAGTTAATACTTTGATATTTACAGACAATGAGCGAACAGTGAACATCTGCTGTGTTAAGAGTGTTTTGGGACAGTGTTTGTTTCTGAGCGGCACCGGAAGGCCATAATTGTACTAAGGTTATGTAACTGAGTGTTATTTGAAATTTTGACATAGTTTAGATGTATTTATTTTGATT